GTGGGAGCGGGAGCTGCCCTGAGACTGCACCCATGCCCCTGTGCTGTATACCAGTGTGGGTGTGGGGGGGAGAGATGTTCCCTGCCTCTGTGTAGAGGGGACTTGTGAAGGAAGGGCATCCTGCCATGTCCCACCCCGGGGTCAGGAGCATGTGATGTGTCTCCACACACCCTTGTGGCTAACAGGCCAAGGACCCTGTGTGGCAGTCAGCTGGGGTCATGTGCCCAGGGGTGGCACGGCACATGCTCACATGTGCACAGGTTGCTGTGTGATCCATGGCCAACAAGGCCCACGCATGCAGTCCCTAGTTTCCACCCCCCACTCCCAGCATAAGGGGGCAGTGATGGCACTCACACGTAGTTGCTTCCCCAGCTTCAGACAACACGTTGGACAGGTCCACAGGGACGGCTTGGGGGTCCTGGCTGAGCGGCATGGTGACTCTGGCTTTCTCTGTCTCCTGGCCTTCCTCATCCTCATCTGTGCCATCATCAGGGCCCTCTGCCCCAGGGTCAATGACCACCTGGGGAGAATGGACTGTCTCGTCCTCCAAGATGCGGTCCAGGGCATCAAAGTAGGGGCAGCTCTGTGTGTCTCCCCTGGTTGGGAGCTGCCCCCTGTGGCCCTGGCATAGGCCTGCCGCAGAAATTTTATCTTCATCCGCACCTGTGGATGTGGCCTCTGGCAGCCATGCTGGTAGCCATCTGGCCATAGATGGCCACGTTCCTGCATCTAGTGCAGAGATCATGGAGGTTGGTGACATCCCCCCAAACCTCAATACCTCCCATGACCTCCGCACTAGACGAGGAAGGCGCCCGTCTCTTCCAGGCCCTGGCAGGCTGGTGGGAGCTGGAGAACTGCTCCCAGGGACCGCTGGAGGGCTGGCTGGCTGGCTCATTTTGTGCCACTGGGTCAGGGGCAGCAGCAGAGTGGCTCAGGGCTGGCAGGGCTGGTGCTAGGCACAAAGGCTCTGGCCAAACTCTGGACCTTTAAGAGCTCTGGAGGGGAGGAGAAGAGTTTTCCTGGTGTGTGCCAGAGTGGCCAGCAGGGCACCCGGGAAGGGTTGGAGGCCCCCTATTTTGAAATAGCCCCTACTCCCTGTCTACACAGTGCCTATTCCTAAATAGTTATTTCAGAATAGGTGCTATTCCTCGTAGAATGAGGTTTACATATTTCAAAATAAGCCCTCCCCTATTTTAAAATAATTTCGAAATAGCAGTTTGGCTGTGTAGACGCTAGCAAAGTTATTTTGAAAAATCGGCTGTTATTTTGAAATAATTTTGCTGTGTAGACATACCCTAAGAGAATACGGTTCTCAAACAGCAAAAAGGGCAACCTTAAAAATCTGTACATGTGAAGAAAAATGTGTATTTTGAAATATTCTGCCATTTGTAGTGGAATCCATCATTATACGCACAGGAAATCTTGCAGAAAATCACAGAGTCTTCTGTTTGCATTCTTGTGATCCAAGTGAAGTTCAACTAGTCTAAGGGATAAAACGGTAATGGTGAAATTGGACAACTCAAGGATGCAACATGATAGAGACACTAGAATCTATGCACTATTATAAAAGGAGAGGTGTCCATCACGTTGTCTGTCACAGAGAACATTTGAGAAGGTTTTAGAAGTTTCTAGGGAGAGGCAGGTCCTCAGCCCCACCAAGGGGAGGGGAGGAACATGCACAAGCGTGCCCCAGCATACCCAGAGCAGCAGGGAGGGAAGAGGATCCATGGCCCCAACCCCCGCCCCCAGGAGCAGCGGGGAGGGAAAAGGTTGAATAGCCCAAGCCTCCCCGGCCGTGGGAGCAATAGGTAGGGAGGAGGCCCCTTGGTCCGAGCCAGACCAAGCTTCCCTGGCCCCGGGAGCAGTGGGGAGGGAGGAGGCCACATGGCTTCCGCCTCGCCAGCCCAGGAGTAGCAGTATGGGAGGGAGCCACGCAGCCCGAGCCAGCCCAAGCCTCCCCACTCCCAGGAACAGTGGGGAGGAAGGAGGCCAGGTGTACGTCTAGCATCACAATGGCATGGGTAATGCTAGTAACTATGAGCAGTGCCCTCCAGTACCCAAAGAGAAGCTGACTGAACATCCCATGAGGATGTAGTGCCATAAACAACTATTTCTTGGAGCAGCTCATTTTGGAGCAGATACTACTCTTACCTGGGCCTTAGTCAAATGCAAGAGTTGATTAAGAAATGGCAGTGAGTGTGGCTGATCAGTACCCAAAAGCAGTGAACGTAACATAACCAAAACATAACATAACATTCAGGTTAAAAATTAAAATCCATTTGTTCAGAATGGAGGTTGCTTAATATAGCTCAAATGAGACTATGAGAAAATAACAAGTATTGGCATGTGGATAAGGAATAAATGGAGTCAGATAAAATCTGAAGATGTAATATGTCATAAGAAATTTTCCAAGTGTATCAAAATTAGGAAGCCTGTGGGAATATCATTTGGATGCCAAGGGTATAAAGAAGTGGTGAAATAACTCAAAACTTTAAACACTGCAGCAATAAATTTGCAATACTAAATGCTGTTCACCTTTCAGTTTGATTAAAGTCTTGAAATAGCTGAGCTACTACCAAAACATGTATGTTATCAGTGAAAAAAGTTACCATAGTTTGCCAGAAGAAAGGAGTGCAGCAATCTAATAACGGTTTTTCTAAAGGTGCTCAGTGTGATCTCAGGAATTCTGTAGATCACTTAACCTCATTTCAACAGCACGAAACTGAAATTCCTTGAAAATAAAATCATAAAGCCAAAAGACCAAGTCACACTGCTACAACCCATTAGGAGTTTTCAGAGGAGTTAACAGGATAGTGTCTAAAAGGGAACCAACGAGTACAAAGCATTGAGATTTTCACATTTTTGTAAATGAAGCTCCTCACAAAAGATTATTAAAACAATCAGTCATTTAGGGATCAATGCTCCAGTGTGTGCCCTTCTCAGAATCAGGCCCCTAGACTGGGAAGTCTTCAACCTAGCCCTTGATCCTACAATGGGCTCCAAGTAGGTGGTCTCATCATGAGCCTGCTAAGAACTCATTTCAGAACTGAGGCCTCACCATTGTATTACTTTACTAACTGAAAGATCAGGAGCTATGTCTGTAAAGTGCCTAGCATATACTGTTGGTGCAATACGAAAAGCATTTGTGATGATCATCACCACCTCCACAAGAAGAAAGCAAAAAGACCTGTTTTGGTTAAAAGACAGAAAGCTCCAAGTAAAATAAGTGCCCCATTCTGAGTATGGAAACTGTACTCTTAGGCTGCCCCAGGGAACAGAATCAGGACTTGCATGGTTCAAATATAATGCATTTATCAGCAATCTGGAAAGCAGGATGAATGCTGAGGTGGCCGAGTTTGCTATAAAGAGAATGAATATCAATCAGGTTACTTTATAAGGGACCACTTTTTGGGCCTGGCAGCACAGATGGAGCAGACTAAGGTAACAAAACATGCTCTCCTGCCCCCAAGCTCAGAGAAATCCCTTCTTAGTCATAGCATGCAGTTGGATCCAGGAATGCTCTCACCCAGTACTATAGCCAGAGTTGGGAAGCAGCAATCATACAATGCAAACACTCCTGGGACAAGCACTGGAGCTGTAGTGGATTTCCTAGCCAAAGCATACTTCATCTAGGAAAAGAATAGTAGAATAGTATGCGGAAGCATCATATATATTTAAATAACAAGAATGGAGAATACTATGTAAGCAGTCCTTTTTGAAAAGGCTCATTCAATAAAATTAAAAGTTAACCAAAAACAAAAACAAAGCTCAGAGAAAATATTTAATGTGCAATTTACATCAGGCTGTGAAACTTCCTGAACCAAGACAGCAAACCTCCTCCATTCCAGGATGCAAACTAGTGGTGGGGTGAGTGGATTCTACATTGTTTAAATACACAAAGATAGTTATATTTTGTAAACTACTACAAGGTCTTACACTTGCATTATCTCAATGTAAGACATAATAATTATATTAATGTTGTAAGAGTCTAAAGTTATACGAACAGAAAAGGTGCCTGCAGCTTCACTGACTAGGGCAACAATAAGAAAGGCTGTCTGACAAACCTCCTGCTTCTAGGCAAAAGATAGAAGAACAGACATGTTACACCAACATTGACCTCTGAGCCAATTATACAATGCTGATGGGTTCTAAAGAGACTCTGGTCCTATGCTCCTTGGCCAGAAGATTGATGCAAGAAAGCAAAAACAAGAGGACCTATAGGCAGTGAGAGATGGAAGTGAAAGGCAGGGGAAACAGTTGTTCTCAGGGCAGAACCCTATTGAGGGAAATAATAGACAATATAGTGTAAGTCAACTCAAGGAAAGTAAATCTGTGGCAATGAGCTCATGAATGACAGCCTGTTGCATGCTGCAGGTGATCAACCTACCACCTGATAACGTAGCTAATTGGATCTCTAGTTCATCTCTCAAGAGCACCACACGCAGGGCACTACAACTCAAAATCTAATGACACACACAGAGTTGGCCAGACGATTCCTGCCGTCAACATTCTACAGTGGAGAAAGTTTCTAGGAAAGCCTGGCATTGCTCTTTGCTAAAAGAGAAGATCCAGTGGGGTTAACATACAGGGAAAATGTCCCCTTGGCTTTGACATAGCCTTCTGTACTAGAAATAACCTCACATTATAGACCTGGTCATGTATTTTTGGCAGCAGGAGGAGCACTGAGGACATGTTGGGAGCAAACAGGATCTCCAGGGCAGGAGAAGAACATTGCAAATAAGCAACCAGCATCTTCCTGTTACATTTTTAGATGGAAGGTTTAATTTTAACAATGATACAATACTGCCAAACTTGCTATAGTTCTCTGCTCATTCCGTAGGTTGCCAGCAAAGAGGTACTGGAAGTTCTGATGCGAGGTGCTTCGATACAAAGCCAAAAATAAATAATCAATCATACAAAGACAACAACGGTTAAATAACGAGGCAGAAGAGAAAGAGGAAACATTTGTCCTGAAAAAGGATGAACTGCCTTCTGCTTACCAGTCCATCACAATTGCTGATGGCCACAGTGGCACCTGGCATGTCTGAGATGTCCCCGGTAAAGACACACTCCTGCTGGAGGGGCTCTCGGAATAGCTCTTGAAAATCTTCCTGCCATTCAGCAGAGGCTCCAGGTGGCATAAGTCGACGGTTGGGCTTCAGTCGGAGATGCAGTTCCTTCCCAAAGACTGTGACATTGAAGTAGAACAAGTGATTTCCAGCTCTGTCGTGGTGCAGTGGCTCATCCAGAGTGCTGCGGGCCACTCTGTGCCGAGGAGAGGGTGGGGTGGAAGGAGTGCTGGCTTCTCCACTGCCTGCCACCACTGAGCTAGATACCATGTGCGAGAGGAACCGTCCCTGGCAGTCCGTACTGAAGGGCACAATCACAGCATACTCACTCAGCTTTCCAGACAGGAGGTGCTCTAGTGGAAATAAAGACAGAAAGATGTCAATACATTCAAAGCAAAGAGCAATCCTTTGTGAATGTGTCATCATGACAAGTGTTTACCCCATAGTGCTTGCTGTATGTTAATTCCCATATGCATCAGGAATTTCATAGCCGCTTTGACACTGGATTTTCTTGTTAAATTAGACAAATATGGTCAAGCCAATAAACTTTCTGCCCCTCCTATAAACTCCTGAATATTCTATGTCTACTTTGTATTTTTAAATCGGCAGGGACATCAAATGTAGCAGAATAAACTCATTCTGACATACACTTATGCCTTTTGCATACCCCACTAACAACAAGCATACAAACTATTGACTGTACAGTTTCCATCTAACATTACTTCTCAAAAATAAGGAAGCCCTTTACAATAAAAATATATCAGTGTCAATTTAAAAAATGTTTGCAATGGATTCCCAAAACATACATGCCACCTTATTGCAATTACCTATCACAATCAACAAAGCACAGTTCCAGCCAGTTACATAAAAATACACCTGACAAAACAAACACACCTACCAACCTAAAACACTCCTACCACCTAAATCAGAGAAGGAAAAAAATAACCAGCCAGACATGCAGACAAATAGAAATTACAAGCATGCAATGAGTCTAAGATTTTCAACTCCAATATAGGAATGGATCTTTTTAATTGGCATGTTATTGCACAGATTTGACACACCACACACCCACGCTATGTACATTTAGCCCAACAAAAATAACATGGGACACCAAAAGGTAACCTGTGCTTTCAGTGAGAGTGGGTGACAGAATGCAAATTGTACTGTTCCCAGGCACCCTTACATGCCCACTAAAATTGTTCTGCAAATCTGACAGAAGGCTCCGCACTTGCAGTAAGTGTGATGATTTCCGTTTGAGTCTTTGATTTCCATTCCCTGCCCCTATCCCATCTTCAGAGTGTAAATAAGACCTAGGAAAGGTTTTTTGCTTTGTTTAGTTTTGATGTACAGAAAGTATTATTCTGCACTTTCTGGCAATATGGAAAAATGCTAAATTCCCACCAGTTCAAATAACTGAAAGTCTAAAAATAGTTAAAGGAAGGATGAACAGACAGACGGATAGAGAAATTCACACTGGAGCCAGGAGAAATGTAAAGGAATTACACTCTTAATGTTAAAACTAGTTTTCCCCTATCTCGCTTCTTTCGCCCCTTGCAGCCCTGTTGGAATTGCTGATGTGACTCTCCCCTTCCTCCTTCTGACCTCGCTGATTTAAGTGATGTCTGGATGCTGTAGGTTAAAAGGAAAAACCAACTCGAGCCATGAGGGAAAGGAACTCTCCTACCTTCGGGTTTGGCTGCCCTCACTGTAGCCAAGCAGTAGTTGAGAGGAAACAAGCAAGACAGCATGACACAGAGATAATCCATTTGGTGCTGGCGAAGCGTTTTCTGGTGGCAGTTCTCTCCGAAAAGGAGCGCACAGGGAAGCAGCTCTCCAAAGTTTCTTCCCCGCGGCTCCCTGCGGCTCCTCCTGGAAACCGGGCAGCGCAAGGGGATCCGGCGGAGCTAGCAACGCGCCTCCTCTCGGAGAGCCGCAGGCTGTCAGAGGCAGAGACGCAGGCGGAGCAGGAGCCGGTCCTGCTGCTCCCCGCCGCACTGTGCACGAGTTGGACAAGCCCCCATGGATCTAGCGCTGCAAAGTCGGGGGAGGGAGGGAGGGGGAGGAAGGAGGCGCGGGCTGGGAGGGAGCCCGGCAGGCTGCAGCCGCCGCTCTGTGCAACGCAGGCTGGTGCCAGCTGGGGGGTCCGCGCAGTGACGCCGGCGTGTGAGTGTCAGGCCGGCCGCAGAGTCCAGGAGGTGGGGAGGAGGCAGCGAGGGCCTCTCCTGGGGGAGGCACCGAGAGGCGCCAAGGGGAGGTCCCTTGCACGTGGCGCTTTCAGCGTCGCTCCAGCTGCCATTCGCAGGCAGAGCGCAGATGGAGACCCTGGGGAGCCCCCAGCCGCGGGATCGGGCTGTTAGCAGGCTGCGAGCGAAGCCCTGCCCCTCTGCCCGGCATTCTGCAGCCCTGAAACACAGCGGCCTTGGTGGGTCTCTGGTACTGGAGCAGCCCACGGTACAAGGTCTCACTTCAGCAGAACCAATCACTTTTGGGGCTCGTTATCCGCCTCAGATGTACAAGCAGGGACTTTATGAGCCTGCTGGCCAGCCATTATTAGGCAGCTACAGACACATCCATCCCATGGCAGGGCTACTGGGCTAGCGGGTAGAGGAAGAGAGTAGACACAATATAGTCTGGTTTTATGACAGCTTTGGAAGCAGTCTCACACAATATTCTCATAAGCCAAGTAGGGAAATGGGGTCTAGCTGAAATATTTATGAGGTGCCTAGAGAACTGGTTGAAAGTTCTGCTCAAGGAGTAATGATCAATACTTCACTGTGAAACTGGGAGGGCATTTTTGGTGGGTGGCACTATTTACTGTTTTCATTACTGACTTGGATAGTGAGAGAGGAGAGCATGCTTATAAAATATGCAGATGATGACACCATGCAGGGAAGGACTGCAAGCATTTTGGAAGGCATGGCTAGAATTCAAAATGGCCTTGATGAATTGGGTCAGAAATCAGCAAAATGAAATTTGATAAAAGGCAAATGCGAAGTGTGACATAGTGGGGGTGCTGTCTATTTTTGTAATCCTGTGTTCACTTTGGTGTTGCATTTACCATTTGTCTTATGGGGTTATATGTGATCCTACTGTCCTATGCTGCTCTGTAGTGACACTGTGTGGGGGTGTGTGCATGCTTCAGTTTACCCAAGAGCTGCATGAGGAGGGGGAGGCAGGGTGTGACTCACTGGGGAAGTATGTGTAATCTATCACCTCCTGAGGAAGTGGGTCTGGCCCACGAAAGCTCATCACCTAATAAACCATCTTGTTAGTCTTTAAAGTGCTACATAGTCCCTGTTTTTTGTTTCAGCTACACCAGACTAACAAGGCTACATTTCTATCACTATTCTCCTGGGGTATGTCTACACTACCACCCTAGTTCGAACTAGGGTGGTTATAATGTAGGCAACCGAAGATGCAAATGAAGCCCGGGATATTTAAATCCCGGACTTCATTTGCATCTTCGGTTGCCTACATTAACCACCCTAGTTCGAACTAGGGTGGTTATAATGTAGGCAACCGAAGATGCAAATGAAGCCCGGGATATTTAAATCCCGGACTTCATTTGCATCTTCGGTTGCCTACATTAACCACCCTAGTTCGAACTAGGGTGGTTATAATGTAGGCAACCGAAGATGCAAATGAAGCCCGGGATATTTAAATCCCGGACTTCATTTGCATCTTCGGTTGCCTACATTAACCACCCTAGTTCGAACTAGGGTGGTTATAATGTAGGCAACCGAAGATGCAAATGAAGCCCGGGATATTTAAATCCCGGACTTCATTTGCATCTTCGGTTGCCTACATTAACCACCCTAGTTCGAACTAGGGTGGTAGTGTAGACATACTCCTGAGGTCCAGGAGACAACAGATAACACCTTGGACCTGGAAGGAGGACAATGGAGGAGACAGGGCTGCCTGGGGCGAGTGAGCAGTGGCTGTGGGGGTGAGGCAGTCTCGGCTGAGCTAGGAGGAGTGAGGATGTTTTAGACCAAGGAAGGGGGTTAAGCCCATTCCCCCTGAGAGGAATAAGGCTGTCTACCCTGGCTCCTGTGCTAACATCACTCCTATGCTACCATGTGTCTCTGAGAAGCAATAAAATCTTCTACTCTGCTGGCTGGCTGGGAGTCACGTGTGGCTGCAGATGGGGGTGCAGGGTCGGGGGATCCCCAACGTGCCGTCACACAAAGTACTACTCTTAGGAAAATAAAAACAAATGTGCAGCCACAAAATTGCTGGCATGGTTGTACTGATGAAAAGGATTTGAGAGTTATAGTGGATCACAAATTGAATGAGTCAACAATGTTATGCTGTTGCAAAAAGGCCAGTATTTTAGGATATACTAACCCTAATGTCACATGTAAGATACAAGAAGTTATCATCAGATGAGAACTGATGAGGCCTCCCCTGGAGTACTGTGTCCATTTCCAGATGCCACACTTTAGGAAAGATATGGACACATTGGAGACAGTCAAGAGGAGAACAACGAGTTTACAGTTTAGAAAGGGTTTAGAAAACTGACCTATAAAGAAAGGTTAAAAAAATTCACCATGTTTAGTCTAGAGAAAAGAAAATTGTTCTGTCCTCCTCCTTCCCCCCCACACACATCTTCAAATGTGTTAAGGGCTGTTGCAGAGAGGACAGAGATCAATTGTTCTTCATGTACACTGAAGGCAGGACAAGAAGCAAAAGGTTTAATATGCAGCAAAGGAGATTGCAGTTAGATATTGGGGGAAACTTTCTAACTATACAGGTAGGGAAACTCTGGAATAGGCTCCTAAAGATTTTTTAAAACCTCCATCAGTGGAGGTTTTTAAGAACAGGTTGGACAAACACTTGTCAAGATGGTCTAGATTCATTTGGTCCTGCCTCATCACAAGCAGTTGGACTCAGTGACTCTTTGAGGTCCCTTCCAGCCCTACATTCCTATAATTCTATGGGGGATTGAGAAAACAGGATGTCCACTGAACCGTCCCATCCACTGAATGGTTCGGGGCAGCAGCAGGAAGCAAAGCAACCCAACCACCTCCCGTCAGGAGAAAGGACTTGGAGGAAGAGGTAGAACCCCCTCACCATGCACTCACTGGTGGCGGGAAGCAGAGTGATGCAGGTGTGAGACAGTGGAGCAATCTGTGGCCATGTGGCTCAGCTTCCCACCATTGTTGGTGAGTACAGGGGCAGGCCTAACCCTTGCTGCCAAGACTCCCACAAATCCCCTGGGCCATGTCAGTTGGGGAAGGGGCAGAGCAGGGCTGCAAAGGAGATGGAGCAGGGGCAGGAAGAGGCAAGTGTGAGAGGGAGCCTGAGCGTATGGGGGGGTTGTCCCAAACCCCCACACCTCCCTGGGGATGGACCTAGATGATCATCTGAAAGCTCAAGGAGTGGGTCTTACGAGCTATTTCTGGTTTCCACCCTGACCTTGGGTCTTCATCTATACAGAAGCTAGGCAATGGTAATCATTTTCCTTTTTCTTTTATGTCAGGAAGCTCTGGAGAGAGATGAACTAAGGCCAACAAGGAAAATCCCTCATCCGGAACTGATGTCCTGAGTTCTTGAAGCCAGATTTCATTAAATAGCCACTAATTGGATATCCACTTTGGAAATCATGCCCTTACTCACTTTAACACATAACAGACATCCCACCTGGGACAAAAGTATTTTGCTTTCTTTCCCATGGTTGCCAGTTCATAGTTTTAGCCAAGAAGTTTTACTGATGTGACATTGTAACACTCATCCAATTACAGTGATTTATTGAAATACTGCAAGAACCGTCTCCAGCACACACAGAGAGGTGGAACTTCCTGCTAACCCTCTTTTCCCCCAGATCAAATACAACAACATAACAATATAATTTAACACTAAGGGTACATCTAGACTGCATTGCTATTTCAGGATACTGGAAGTATCCCAAAATAGCAACACTGCATCCAAGGAACACGTCTGCTATTTCGGAAAAAAAATAAAAATAGTGGATGCACTCTTTCGCCATCCCTGTAAACCTCATTCTATAAGGAATAAGGGATGGTTTGAAAGAGCACTTAATTTTGAAATTTGGCACTGTGTAGACGTGCCAAATTGTGAAATAGCCTCTTCCGAAATTAAATTTAAAAAAAATATGGACTTGGCATACCACAAATCGCGTATCTTTTTTCAATTTTACAGTGCAGTCTAGACATAGCCTAAGAGATAGCACCATCTATTGGTGCAGGTGCCATTTGCATTAATCATTATATTATACTTGAAAATTGAATGAGAGCCCAAAGAAAAATGGCAACATTAATTAAAAAATAAAGAAATGCAAAGAGAGATTTAAGATCCTAATGCAGCAGCACACTTAATTTTAATCCTGTGAGCAACTCTATTGAGTTCAATGGATCTTTTACAGAAAAAATCATAGAAGCTTTGCAATCATTGGCACCATTTGGTTTGCAACAGACATATAAGTAAAGTGCAAAAGAACTGATCTATTTGCCTATCCAGTCACTGCTTTGCTAACATCTAACTCTTTTTGTGAGGTGCTCTTGATTCAGTCTGTATGAAGGGAGATGTAGATTATAGGTATTGATATATCTGACTGTGGCACACAGAGAATTCCTCGTACTAGCGCTACGTCTACACTGTAGCCTTCTTGCGGAAAAGCTTATGCAAATGAAGCTCAGCGTGGAATATCACCATGCTTCATTTGCATAACTAATGAGCAGCCGTTTTTGAGCAAGAGGCTTTTGCACAAAAAAGCAGTGTAAACAGCTCCTTTTTGCACAAAACCGCCCTCTTGCACAAGAGCTGTTCTTCCTTTTTTTTTTAAAATCTCTCTTTTCCTTGGTTTCCACTTTCTCTAACACAGGGGTGGGTAATAAGCAGTCCGCAGGCCAGACACAGTTCACCAGGGTTAACCCCTGGCAAGTTGCCTGACATTTTATTTACCAGCAATTCTGCAGCTACAGCTGCTTGCAGCTCCCATTGGCTATGGATCACTGTTTGCAGCCAATCAGAGTTGCAAAAAGTGGTGTCCTAGTCCACACTGCTTTCTGCAGCTCCCATTGGCCTAGAATAGTGAACTGCGGACAACAGTAGCTGCAAGTGGCTGTTTCTGTGACCACACAGATAGATAAATAGTATGGTGGCCCGCCAGGGGCTAGCCTGGAGAACTACATCCAGCCCATGGGGTACTTATTACCCTCTGCTGCTCTAACAGCAGGGCTAGGTCAGAGCTCACATTTCTTGACTGAACAGCCCTTTCTCTTCTGTCTCAGATATGTCAGTGACATCTCTATAG